GCTATTGAGTTCCTATTCCTTGAAATAAAACTCTATTTTTCATCACTCTTCTAAGAAGCAAAGATTTTATGAATGACCCAAAGGGGAAATATTAATTTTCCTTCTAGCTTCCTTTTAATTTTATCTTTCAATTTCCCTAGCATCATGGCAGGGAAAAACCACATTCTGAGTCTGACATGGAGTAATTAGGAGATATATCATCCTAGAGATCATTTCTTAATAAGCTTTGGGCAGGGAAATACTTTTATAGGAAACAAGAGGAAGACACACTAGTTGACTGAATCTAATCTCATTTTGTGTGAGAGGTTTTATGTCTGCTTTGTTCTGTGTTCTCTCTTTTTCTTGTTACTGAGAAGAGGCGATAGGAAGCAATTAATGGCTGTCTTTCCCTATAAAGCCCTTCTTTTGTGGCAAGAACGTTTCTTGGAGAAAAAGAAAAAAGTCATTGCCGAATTTCAATCACCATAAGACAAAGCCTTGAGTCTGTGTTGTGCTCTTGGCTTCATTGATGACGAGCAGTAAATGTGATCAGAAAGGAGAGCAAAGAAAGATGCTGATAAATCAAAGTGCTCTGGGGATCAGGTAAGTTGTGACCCTTCCTCTTTGCAAAGACAAAACTAGTTTCCCTGTATATTTCAGAATCATCTGTTCTGTAAGTTTGGTATCCAGAATAGATCCTAAAAAATACGTTGATAACACAAGCGTTTAAATCAACATTGATTGTCACTGGATGAATAACCATGGTATTTGAAGAAACTAAAGCTGTCTATCAAGAGAAAAAACTAATCACAAATTATCAATATCAATCAGGAAATTGTTTAATATCATACTACATTAAGTATGAAAATGCAACTTTATAGCATGAAGACCAGCTAAATATTAGGAAATAGTTACTTTTTTATTTTATTTATTTTTGTTTGTTTTTACAAGACAGGGTTTCTCTATATTGTTTTGGAGGCTGTCGGTCCAGCCCGGTCTCGAACTCACAGAGATCCGCCTGCCTCTGTCTCCCGAGTGCTGGGATTTAAAGGCATGCGCCACCATCGCCCGGCAATAGTTACTTTTTAAAAAATCCCTGTAAGACTTTGACAGGTGATAACACTGTACTTCTAAGTCAGTTTGGTGACTTCATATTTTGCATATGAAATCTGATTATATGCCCTTTGTCACACAAATAATATGAACCCAGAGACAGATATTGAGGAACAAGCTGAAGATCAGAGAAACAAAACAGCCAACCCAGTAGCTCATACCTCTACCAAGCTGAAATGGCAATCCTGTCTCCACAAATCCTCTAAGGCAAATGCTCTAAGTTCCTGTCTCTTTCTCATATTCCTTTCTCTGACCAGTCATGTCTATCATTCTTTTCTCCACCTCCCTAGTGCTGGAATTAAAGGCATGTGATCACAAGTTCTGGGATTAAAAGTGTGAACTCCATTACTCTTTAAACTGATTTACTCTCATGTAGCCCAGGGTTGCCTTCAACTCACAGAGTTCCATCTGCTTCTGTCTCCTACATCCTGGATTACAGGTGTGTACCACCACCACCAGGCTAACTAGTATGGCTGCTAGAATTAAAGGTATGTATCACCACTGCCTGGCCCTATGACTGACTAGTTTTGCATTTTGATCTCTGGTAACTTTATTAAATCATAAATAATGTATTACCACAGTCCTTTGGCTAATGTAAGTTTTGGAAAAATCATTATTAATAATAAATTTATTTAATGACTGATACCCACATATAAGTGTTTGCATTTCTGGGGCTAAGTTGCCTCACTCGGGATGATTTTTTTTCTAGTTCCATCTACTTGGAACAAGAGGGGACAAGGATACCACCAGGAGATCTTGGCCAACAGAACCAGCTAAGCAAGGCTCATAGGGGCTCACAGAGACTGAAGTGGGAAAGCCATGTAGCATGGATCTGCTGTAGGTCCTCTGCATATACATTGTGGTTATTTGGCTTGGGATTTTTGTGGAACTCCTAACAGTGGGAGTTGGGGATGTCTCTAACTCCTTTGCCTGCTCTTGGGACCCTTCCTTCCTACTGTGTTGCCTCCTCCAGTCTTGACATGAGGGACTGTGCCTAGTCGTATTGCATCTTGCTTTGCTGTGTTCACTTAGTATTCCTGGGAGGCCTGCTTTTTTCTGACAGGAAACAAGAGCAATAGGCCAGAGGGAAAGGAGCTATGTGAGTGGAAATGGGAGGTGTGGAGGAAGGTGTGGCTGCAGTTGGGACGTAATGAATGTGGCATGAGTAAATAAATTTTAAAAAATAAAATAAAGCCAGGCAGTGGTGGCGCACGCCTTTAATCCCAGCACTCGGGAGGCATATCTCTGTGAGTTCGAGGCCAGGCTGGACCGACAGCCTCCAAAACAATACAGAGAAACCCTGTCTTGTAAAACAAAAATAAATAAATAAATAAAAATAAAAAATAAAATAAAATAAGTGTATTGAGTATCACTATTTAAATTATTAGGGTACATTATATATGCCTTAATCTAATGAAGTTTTCAAGCAATGATGTCACGCTTACATTGTTTTTCTTTTATGATCATTGAACATGGCTTCCCTAAGAGTTTCAGAGTTTCTCTGGCCAATGATGTTAGCTGGCTAACCTTGGCTATAAGACTAGTTACTTTGATTTTATGTACAATATTTGTAGTATCAGAAATTCATGCCTTTTCCTTGGCAGTTGGCACAGTTGGCAGAGAATAAAACTGCCATTGTTAGGTGTTAGGTCAAAGCCTCTTACAACACAACTGCTCTAGATACCACACTAAACTGTGCAACATTCCTCACTCATTATGACCTGGAAGCCACAGATAATAGTAATAATGACTCAATTTCAGGGGAGTTTGAGCCACACCAAAACCAGAAGTACACCAAGCACTTGGTCCAAATGCATGAAGTCCTTTGAAACTCACCTCCTGCAAATATCTGTTAGCTGTCTCTACGGCAGCCACCTGTAAGTCAGTTTCACAAGAGCAGAGTGGACTGCTGTGTCTCCAGTTTGTGGGGAGCCACAATGCTGTCATCATCTTCCTCCTATTTGACTCAGGTGTTTGCACTTTTCATGCAAGGAAGCCACCATTGGAGGTAAGACGAATGTTCCTAAGAAACATTTTGAGAATGGAGAAGCAGTATTTAAAATTTGCTCATATAAAATTTACAGCATTTTCTGTTACTTTGGTAAAACTAAAACAAAATATTACTTAACCCTTTCATATTTATCTTTGTTCTAGTCCTTAGTTAAAATATTTGGAAATGTTTGAATTCCTCTAAAGCTTGCTTCTGATGTCTGATGAAGTAAAATAGAGCACACTATCCAAAGCCAATTGATGCCACTGATGAGTATTTTTCCTAGAGCTCTCACCGCTGGTGGGACTTTTTTTTTCACTGTAACATTTAGTGTTAACTAGTCCCAGGATTGTGTGTACTTCAGGAAGTCTCCCGCCATCCCTATTTGTTGATGCTTTCTTCATCTCAATGCATCTTCATGGACCTTTCATCATCTCCATATTAGATTAAATTGAGTCAACTTGGAAATAGTGGAAAGCAGACAGGTATCATCAAATCAGAATTGCTCCTTTCATCACAACAACCCAAGGGTCAGAGACTCTCTACACGGGTTTCAGATGGTGTACTTGACACAGGGCTTCAGGTTCTACAGTAGGGAAAAGGGTTGAAATTTTGAGGATGGAAGATTTCACCTGAAGGTCAGCTCTCCTGCAGCAGCCTTGAAGTGGTATACACCAGGGCAGGTTGATATGCGAACCTACCAAGAGATCCCTGGGGTTTTATCAGTCAGGTTTACTTTCCTGTCTGGAGTTTCTCAGTCCACCAGAGGCTGTCAGGTTGCTAACCCTCCTTGCTAGACATCCAAGGGAAACTATTTCATATCTCCAGAACTCCTCAAATGGACAACTGTCTTCTCCTCTCTCCTTTCCTGCCCTGAGAGGCTGCTTCATGCTCTTCAAGTATTGACTCAGTTGCCTTGGCCCAGGTAAAACACTAGGAGGCTTGCATCCTTCTTCCTTGATATGCATCTTTGAAATTCTTTGCAATGCATAGAAATCACTTTCCAGTATAGCCTGATGTTCAAGGTAAAAGCTTACCAGTTTCTTTTTAATGTTATATTGGATCTATAAATACTGTCCTAGTCATATTTATTAATATTTATCTTATTAGTCTTTGTCTTTCATGTCATGGAAATATCCTTCTTGATAATTATATATAAGCTTTCATTTCTTCTAGCTTCTAAATTTTTATTATTAAGTAGTCATGTTTAATGCACTCATAATAATTTGCTATAAAATAAAAAGTAAGACAAGCTTTTAATTTTTTATGATGTTACATAGTTGTTCTTCATCTATACTTAAATACTTTACTATTACCCTACTTAAAAATAAGGCATTTTTCATTTATTTTATCTAGTTATCTTTACATCTCTTTAACGGGCTAATATTTTTTCAGACAAAATTTATGTGCAATCATTACATTTTATAGTATTACATACAGCACACTTCTCTATTTCATATTTTGTTGATTTTCTAGGAAATTCTCAGTAGGTCTGATAATTAATTTATCTCAGTAATTTGAAATAGTGAAGCCATTTACTTTTTTGTTCTGCATTCATGGACATTTTATATCAGTAAATAATAACAACACTAAAATTTAAGTTCTAAGTTCTATTATTTTAAGTATCACATTGATTAAGAGGTGGAATTCTGTAGGTTGGAATGAACTAATGCGAGGAATTATCTAGGAGCACCTCTTTGAGGAAATGAAAAGTTTAAGAGTCCTTTAAGCAACATCTCTCCATTCTCCATCTCTGGTACCCACAATTCATCCTACTCTCTCACTTCTTGCATTGAACATAGGAGCTTCATTTCTCTTTCTCTTCTTTTTTGGAAAATCATAATTATATTCTGAGGATTTTGAACAAAAAGGATAAAACTTTGTGGCTTTAGTAACCACAATAAACAGACCAAAATGTATTCAGATTGCATTACCTTCCCTCTCTCGCTTCCAAAGGAAGAGAAGAACAACTATCAATGACAAGATGTAGCTACAGAAAAGCAGCATCTAGAGCCGGCTCATTCTCAGGAGAGAATGCTGTGTCTAGTCCTCATGGTCTTGGGTGCTCTACACAGTCAGGAAACTTCTCTAGCAACGAACTACAGAAGTGATCCCTGAGAGTACAGTCTTGAGAAGCTTCTCTTTGACATGCATGTTTCAAACAAATGTATGTTGGAAAATTAAAAGGGTTAGATTCTATTTTCCTCACAAAAAATTGTGTATGCTAATGCATTTTAATAAATTAATGTGATATTTTCTATTTATTTGTTGATTTTTTCAAGACAGGGTTTCACTGTGTAACAGCCTTGGTTGTACTGGAACTGGAACTAGTTCCATAGATCAGGTTGGCCTCAAACTCAGAGAGATCCATCTACCCCTGCCTCCCGAGTGCTGGAATTAAAGGCATTCGCTGCCTCCTCAGCAGCCACCGTCGCCACCACCACTAGGTTTAGTAATATTTTTTAAGGGCTTCCTATAGATATAGTTTCTACTAATTTACAATCTTCCAAAACACACACACACAGACACACACACACACACAGAGTATTTACATAAAATATTTCATTGGAGCTGCCCTACACTGGGGAATAATACTTCTTTGTAGAAGCTATACGATGAAACAAATAAACAAACAAACAAAGGCAAGTGTAAGATATTCTCAACAAGCTGTTGGTCAGATTTCTCTGAGACCTCCAAAACAGATTAGGCCATCACAACGGTTCTTTATTATCCAATAGAACTTGGTAGTAACACCCTGTTGCTGAAGACCATATGCACATTGATCTCAAAACCTGAAGAAATGAAGATGGTACTGACCAGAAAGAGTCTTTCTTGCTGGCTAGTATCAAAGGTGGTAAGCATAATTCTGAAGTCAAAAGTCATAAATAGTCTTACCCAATTGTGAGCCCCACAAGCTACCATAACAACCTATTTGGCAATATATGCCTATAGGTGAAATAGCAGCACAAATGTTCGGGGGTAACCACCCACTAAGACCTATTATACAGAAATAAATGCATACCTAGTACTATAAATATATCCAAGAATGCATGGTTGAAGAGCTTATAGGCCCGTGGATGAACTTACTACTATTATTTTCCTGAATGGATATAATATTTAACTGTCCTCTAAATTCATATCTCTATGCACATGTTAGTACAACTCTCAGACCTCATCCGAGAAGCATGTGTGTGTGTAGTGCATCATGGTTGACAAAGAACCTCACACTGGTTCAAGTGTGGAGTCTGAGTGTGGAGTGCTCAGTCACAAATAGGACATCTATATTACCCTTCTTGCCAAGGACGAGGGAATATCATGGAAGCAGTGTTGGAAAGACTTCAGAAGTTTGGCATGGCTTGAGGTAAGACATGCCTTCAGCTCTTGTAAGGAGGGCTGCACTATGGTTGCACTCTGCATGAGACCTGTACATGATTAAGTCAGTCAATATTTAAGTATAAAGTAGGGAGGAGAGAATCATAGGACACCACCCTTACCTGAGGAACAATTGACAGTTGATGGCTTCTAGGGATAGGACACCTATTTTCCTTAGGCTTTTGTCCCTGGGTATGCTGACCACACTCTGGTAAATGACCATATATCCATCAGTTTATAGAGAATTAAAATTAGACTCAATAGCTTAAAGAAAGAAAAGAGAACACGAAGTTGACAGAGGGTTGATGTGTAATTGGATCTTCAAGTAGTTAGGGGAAGAAGAGATAGTTAATATAATCAAAACATATTGATGCATTTATAAAAATTTTTAAAAGTTAATAATGTAGATAGATATATAGATAGATAGATCTTTTGCTCCATGGAAATTGTAGTCTTTTTTCTTTCAATTTATTGCATCAGTTTATTTGTGTATATGACTGTGTGTGGAGAGGGTGAGTACGCAGGTACCAAGACACAATGGTGAAGGCCAGAGGTTAGCTTGCAGGAGTTGACTCTTCTTTCTATGTGAGTTCTGAGACTGAAGTTGGGCATTAGACTTACTGGAAAGCATATTTACCCATTAAGGCATCTTCTTGGCCTTAACCTATTATTAAAAGGTCTGGTTGACAAGCATTTTAACCAGGACACCAAATTTCCTATATCCTTCAGCTCTAAGGAATGACTTAGTGCTTAATTCTTCCCTAACCTCTGTTTTACTTAGTGATGATTAAATTGGGTGAGTTCAGGTGGTATAGCAGTAGACTCACTTAGTTATGGAGTAATTGAATAGTATTAATTTTTCTCCAAGGAAAATTTCAACCATACATCTTATATATATATACATATATATATATACTATTATATACATAGTAATTATAACAGTAATTAAAATCATTACAATTTATCACTGTTTTGTTTTCTAAATAGGAGGCTGAAGTTTGGAGTTTTGCCTCTTGTTTTGTGGTTAAAATGTACTTTGTTTTATTTCCAATGTCAGTTCTTCATATTGTTATTAGAGTCTTTAAGACCATACTATATTTTTCTATTACAGGTTTTACAGAGTATTCATTGTAACTGTGTAGGAGCAATTTTTATGAATAATTTGTAGGTGCTGTTTAAAGGACTCTCTCTGTGGGATACATAGTTTAATATAGAGTATGGTATTAACTTTATTAAAATAACTTTTGCAATATGTACATACTTCATTAGTTCTCTACTCTGGCTATGCATTACAACCTCGTGGGAGATTTTTTTTATAAACTAATAACACCTAAGAACCATTCAAACCAAATAGAACTGTATTTTTTAGTATGATCTGGGTAGCTGCACACTTAGAGGCAAGAAGTGTTGCTGATGTGGGGCCAAGTTCTTACAACCACAGTTCTGCTCATGTTTATTGTGTGTCTTATGTTGGTTTGGTTTGGTTTGATTTGGTTTGGTTTGGTTTGGGCCAATGACAAATGGAAAATACCTTACCATTTTAGCTAATTTTATGCTAGAATTTTTATTGCCTGCCAAATACTTTTTGTTAAAAGTCTTGGTTTATCTGTACACATTTAGTAGTTATCTCTTTGCTTCATCACTGGCTCTACCACAAAATACCGGAGATGGAGTGGCTTAAACAAACAAAAAGACATTGTTCCATCTTCAGAGGCTGGACACAGAAGTGAAGATTCTGTCATGGCCAGGTTCTGGTATGGATCTTACATTTCCTATCTTGCAGACTGCTGCAGGCTTCCCTTTGTATCTACACAGAGTGGAAAGTTCAAGAGCATTTCCGCATTCTCTCCAAGGACACCAATCCCCTCAAGAGATATCCATTTCATGAACCAATCACCTACCAAAGGCACTACCTCTTAACACCATCCTGTTTGGGGTTGGCTCTTCATTGGGTGAATTTTGATGGGTCACATTGACCTCATAGTCAATGTAAAGAAATCATGCACAAGCATTATGCCAATGTGTAATTGATATAATATTCTATTTTTATTGTGTCTTTTATTTTGAGAAAAATAATTGAAATCTTCCTTAACTTTTATTAATATGTTGGGGATTCAGGTTTTCCTTTAGCTTTCTGAGTTATTCTTGTCTATGTGTACTTCCCGAGAATTGTAGATTGGTTTAAATTTTCAATTCTATGTGCTAATCTTTTTCTTCTTGTAAGTAACGGTTCTGGGTCTGAGGATAATTATCAGTGGCAGAATTTTTACCTGATATTTGCAAGGCACCTGGTTCAGTTCCTGACTACCCAAAAGAAAGTGATTGTTTTGATTTATATTGACAATTTTATTAGATATACTTCTTTTCATATATCAACTAATTTGCCATATGCTTTCTTCTTATGTTGCTTTGTTATGTTGTAACTTTGTATATTCTACTGTTTATATATTTATTTTATTTATCGATTGGGAAAAAAAGGAAATTTTAATAGCATGGAGAGCAGTTTGTAAGTTGCACATGTGCATAAGCCAGTTTTCGTAACTGCAGACTGTGCAATATAAGCCAAACTGGCTACAGAAAATATCCAGGAATGCTGAACTAAACTCTCTCTGTTTTGGGGGTGGGTTGGTTCCAAACTTCCAGAGTTTGACCTCATAGTTTATTTCTCTTACACATTTAAGCATGTTTCCATGTGACAATCGTCACAACAAAACTGTAGACATAGCTATATCAAAACACCCTAGCAAAGTAACAAAGCACCTGTGACATTTACAATGAGTTCTGTTGACTGATAAACAGTGATCAGGGCAAGGGCATAAGGAGGAAGGATTTGTAACAGGAAGAAGGATAGATTCCATTGATGGAGAAGGGACCTCTTTCATAACGATGGTTTCTATTCATTGAGACTAAGTTCAGGATTAGGGTCTATAACAATTCTCAGGAAGGCTGGTTCCATAGAACAGCAATAAAATTACCAGGATGTCAAACATCAAGCACTACAGCCTTCCGAGTGACCAGGCTACAGTTGTTTTCCTTTCTTCGAAGGGAAATAGACCTCCATTTTTAACAAGTCTTGTTTCTCCAGTAATTTGCTTAATCTATGAATCTTACAATTGCATAATAATATTAAAACTTTGAAGGACATTGCTTTTCAAATCTTAGCTGCAAACTGAACACCATTTGCTAATTCACAAGTCTCATTTTCTGTCCTTTTCTTTTTTTCCTAATTTTTTATTCATTTTTTAAATGGCAACCACAGTTCCCTCTTTCTCCATCTTTCCCCTCACCTCTCCCACACCCTCTATCCACACTTCAGAGAGGTTAAGGTCTCTGAAGGGGACTCAACAAAGCCTGGCATATCATATTGAGGCAGGACCAAGCCCTCCCCTGCATCAAATCTGATCATGGAATCCCACCATAACGAATGGGCTCCAAAAAGCCAGTTTATACACCCGGGATAAATCCTGATCTCATTGCCAGGGGCCCCACAAAAAGATCAAGCCACACAACTGTCACCCACATGTACAGTGTCTAGTTCAGTTCCATTCAGGTTCCCCAGCTCTCAGTCCAGAGTCCATGAGCTCTCATTAGCTTGAGTCAGCTGTCTCTGTGGTTTCCCCCATCATGCTCTTGATTTCCCTTGCTCATATAATCCCTCGCCCCTCTCTTCAACTGGACTCCAGGTGCTCAGAGCCTGGCTGTGGATCTCTGCATTTGTTTCCACTGGCTACTGGATAAAGTAAACTAAACTTTCAAAA